ATCTCAGGGATATCATCAGATTCCGTTGGCCCTTGAGGATCAGAGTAAGGTGAGTTTTGTGACGAGCAAAGGGACGTACTGCTATGTCGTCATGCCTTTTAGGCTTAAGAATGGGGGAGCAACCTACCAACGGTTGATGGATCGTATGTTCAAATCTCAGATCGGGCGAAATATCAAAGTATATGTGGACGATATCTTGGTGAAGAGTAAGTCCTCAACCTCACACCCAGACGACTTAAGGGAAAAATTTAAAACCCTTAGGGCGTTAGGTATGAAGTTGAACCCAAGCAAGTGTGCCTTCGGAGTAAAGGCAGGTCGATTTTTGGGATATATCGTCACAGAGCGAGGAATTGAAGTAAACAGGGAGAAGGTGAAAGCCATACTCGACATGGCCCCACCAAGAAATATAAGAGAGGTGCAAGTCTTGACGGGAAGGATTGCGGGACTAAGCAGGTTCATTGCTCGAGCCGCAGAGAAAAGCTTCCCATTCTTCAAATTGCTCAAAAAGAATTTGACCTTCTTGTGGAGTGACGAGGCACAAATGGCCTTCGAAAAATTGAAAGAGTTCTTGGGCGAGCTACCTTTGTTGACAAAACCTGAGCCCGGTGACGAGTTGGTGCTATATATATCTGTGGGTTCGTTGTCGTTAAGTTCAGTGTTATTGCGAGAAGAAGGAGGTGTCCAACAGCCAATTTACTAAACCAGTCGAGTTCTCCAGGGTGCAGAGACGAGATACTCTGAGGTCGAGAAAGCCGCCTTGACACTGGTGATAACGGCTAGAAAATTAAGGCCATATTTTCTGAATCATGTGGTAATGGTGAGGACAAATTTTCAGTTGGGGGAAACACTGGGCCGACCCACGGTATCGGGTCGGCTCGTAAAGTGGGCAGTCGAGTTGAGCGAATACTCCATCAAGTACGAGTCGAGACGAGCCATAAAGACCCAAGTCTTGGCAGATTTTATCCAAGAAGGCACCAAGGGAGAAGAAAAGAAATGGGTCATGCACGTCGACTGGTCCTCGGTAGCTAAAGGGTCTAGTGCTGTAAACGAACCGAACCGAACCGAACCGAGCTTGGGCTGTTTGAGCTCGTGTTCGTTTACGTTCGAACAGTGTTCGTGTTCGTTCGTTTATTTTTCGAGCAAAAAATTGTGTTCGAGTTCGTTCGTTTAGTTGTTCGTCAAAGTTCGAGTTCGTTCGTGTTCGAATAATTTAATATATAAACTTTTAAAATATGTTTGATTAACTCGAAATTTGTTCGTTCGAACTCGAAAATAAAAGAATAAAATAAAAATATTTTTATTGTTTAGATTTTTTGTTAAAAATATTATGTAAATATATAAATAATAAATAAAATTATATTAAATTCTATATTTTTATTAAAAATATTATATAAATATATAAAAAAATAAATATAATTATATTAAACAAATGTTCGCGAACATAATCGAACGTACACGAACGAGCTCGTGTTCGTTCGATTATTAAACGAGCCTAACTTTCTGTTCAAACTCGGCTCGATTAATAAACGAACGAACTTTTGTCGAACACGAACGAGCTCGAACGAGCTTTTGTTCGCGAACGTTCGGTTCGTTTACAGCTCTAAAAGGGTCTGGTCTTGGAGTCGTCCTCATGTCACCCGAGGGCGAACAACTTGACTTTGCCATTAGAATGAGATTTAATGCCTCGAATAACGAAGCAGAATACGAGGCACTAATCAAAGGAATCCAACTCGCAATCGGTGGCGGAGCGACAGAAATTATGGCACATTCCGACTCACAACTGGTTGTTGGACAAGTATTGGGAAGTTGCGAGATTAAGGAGGATCGGATGATGAAATATGTAGAGGAAATACAAAGCCTTGTTCAAGGCCTAGAAAAATTTGAGCTGACACAAATCCCTCGAGAAGAAAACAAGCGAGCAGATTGGCTCCCGAGAATTGCGAGCTCGAATGATGGAAAGATGGGGAGTTCTATCACCACCATGCATTTGGAAGGAAGCGTGTTGGGCTAGGCAATGGAAGTCAAGGAAAAGGACGACTGGAAGAAGTCGATTCATGAACTCGCAAGCCGGGTTGGGAGAAGACGAGCTGAAAAACTTCATTGTTTACCAGCTATGAAGCTGCTAAAATCGTTGCTCGTCTTCGACCAGCTCGCAAGCCGGGTTGGGAGAAGACGAGCTGAAAAACTTCATTGTTTACCAGCTATGAAGCTGCTAAAATCGTTGCTCGTCTTCGACCAACTCGCAAGCCGGGTTGGGAAAAGAGTAATAGAACGAGACAATACACTTGGAAAAATTCAGATCAATCGAAAAGAAAGCATTGAAATGAACATTAAAAACACACGAAAAATCGAAAGGGAAAGATAGATTTTGTATTTAAAGGCAAAAGAATACACCATAGGTCGCCTCGACCCTTACAAAAACGGCCAACAGGGGCCGAGGACGACAAAGCAAAAAAAAAACAAACAACAACAAGGCTAGCAAACAAACGAAGCAACTAACATGGCCATCAAATATTTAATCTTTGTGAGAATCGGTGGTCGACTTTTTGGCAGCTCACCATCCCCGTCACCAACAGGTTCAGTACCAGCACCCTCATCTCCCCCGACCTACTCTGTGCCCGGGCGCTCAACCTCGATCTCTTCGTTTAGAGGCTCCTCATCCTCCTTGTCATCCGCCCCACTTGGCCCGATCAAGTCGATTGGACCAGTCAAAGGGGAGGGAGGAACCTCAAGCTGCACGCCTAACTTGGCCTTTTGAATTGCACGAGCCTCGAGTCCCGACCACCATTGAAAGTCGTCGGGAAGCGACGCGTCACCGTGATAGCCGATCGAAAGGGGAAGGGATTCCTTGAGCGCCTGACAGTCGACCTTCCCCTCGAGAGTTATGCCCTTTGCGGCCGCCTCCCACGCATCAAACGTGAAGTGGAAATACTGGAGGGTGGCAGGTCACAACTTCTCGAGGAAGTCGGGGGAGTTACAGAACG